AAAAAACTAACATCAGATTCGAGTTCCTCGACCCCGATTACCCTTCGGTCAACCCTTATAAAAGAATTTTTTTTGGTAAAAAAGTGATCTTTTGTGTAAAAAAAATCGATCCGAAAAAAATTTTAAAAAACTAACATCAGATTCGAGTTCCTCGACCCCGATTACCCTCCGATCATCCCTTATAAAAACGATGATGTGAGAGGTCAAAAAAACATTTTTTCGTTCTGTGCGAACGAACGAACGGACGGACGGACGGACGGAGTCACGAACATACGAACCTTGCTCGGTGTATGACCCTCCTTTCAGTAGAGGGAATAAACAATTGATTGCATCAGGTAAATTTATGCACGTATTTTATTTTACCCTTCATAATTGAGTCAAGGACATTTGAAAGAACGACGTTGTCGATGTTTGTCAAATGATTTAACCTGTTGGCCCAATGCTTCTAGTTGGCAAAGATTCAATGAATCGATCGATGGACGTCTTGTTTCTCCTAAACCATCGGCTGCAGTATGTAATTACAATCTACTGAATACAGATGCATGTGTTATAGCTACGGCTCAATGGACGAATGCATCGTGGCGTAGTGATCAAGTAGGAGCAATGCAAAATCACAATTGGGAAAAAAGTTCTTGTTCTATTTCTTCTCCGAATATCTCGTGTAGTCAAGGATCTGTACCCGTATTAGCTGTAAATGCAACCCTTTCTGAACACGTTCAAGCTACTGTACGAATGGCTACTGTGAATAATCTTCGTTTGGTAATAAAAACAACAGGACATGATTATTTGGGTCGATCAACAGCAGCCGGATCTCTTCTTCTTTGGCTACATTTTATGACAAACATGACACTGATTCCGGACTTCTCATCGTGTACGGGTGAAAATGTTTTGAATGCCATTCGTCTCGATGCTGGTGTTCAATGGGGTCAAGTTTATACCTGGTTAGCTCAGTACAATTTAACAGCAATCGGCGGAGCATCCGGTACTGTGAGCGCCACGGGTGGATTTTTGCAAGGAGGTGGTCATGGTCCATTGACACGCTGGAAAGGTTTGGCTGTTGATCAAGTTCTCGAATTCGATGTTGTAACAGCAGATGGACGACGACAAACAGTGAATACATGTCAAAATTCGAACCTATTTTGGACATTGCGAGGCGGAGGCGGTGGAACGTTTGCTATTGTTCTGTCAGCTGTACTACGTACTTTTCCATCGCCGTCTGTTCTAAGCAGTTTTAACATTTTGACCATAGCAAATGAGACTCGCTACAATAGTTTTGTTCATAATTTTATTCATTTCTTACCTACATTAGCTGATAACGGATGGGCTGGTTCATTTTACATGGCTGACACGAGTTTGGTAATTATATTTCTTTTACCAAATGGAGATTTGAATGTAGCTAATGCAACATGGAATCAATTGATGAAGAACAATACTGACTTGAATTTCATGCAACCTTTTATCCTTACTTTTTCATCATTCAATGACTTTTTTCTTAACGTACTTGCACCATTTAATCCAACAGGTGATAATGTTCTATTAGGATCTCGTCTCATACCCGAAACGATCGTTCGTAATCAACCCGAACAACTTGCTGAGACATTTCTTCGTATTAAAGGCAAAGCTGGAACGTCTCTCATTGGACATCTTGTAGCAGGTGGACAAGTATCAAATATGTCGAATAATAATAGTGTTAATAGTGCATGGCGTACAGCTCTTCTTCATATGATCTATTCACAGAGTTGGCCAGATGGAACATCTGATGAAGAGCAACAAAAGCTAGCTGCACATGTTACAAGTCAAGTCGATATTTTACAAACAGTCTCAGGGGGATCACAATCCGGTGCATACATGAATGAAGCCAATCCAAATGAACTTAATTGGCAACAGAAATTTTTTGGTACACAACAAATCTATGATCGACTCAAATCGATCAAACAAGCCGTTGATCCACATGGTTTATTTGTTTGTAAAAATTGTGTCGGTAGTGAAGATTGGTCATTAGATCTGAATTGTCCAAAGATGTCGAGTGCTAATAAAGTTAGCACAACAATATTGCTGTTCGTTATAATGCAATTTTTGTGCTAATCTTTTAAAATACATATCTGAGCTATTCTCGATTTTCATTGCTAGAGTTCATAATCGATTATCCGTAGTTGAGAGATAAGATACAAAGAACCCTCTAGTCATAGCTCCATTAGCTGACAATACCGAAAAATCGGTTGTTTTATTATTTAAATTCAAGCCACCTTGACAAATCGATTTTTCTGATGAACATTCCAGGTATCCTAATTCAACTTGTTAATACCCTTCATTGTTGTGATATGAAATTGAAGAATATATCTTACTATAAATGAAATTTTTCGTAGTTCAATGATATGTCGGTCGACTTGCGATGAAAATATTTGATATTTTTACCCAAAGATTTCGTCTTCAGTTTTACATTGACAAACTCCGCAGTTCAGAAAATTATTAAAATCATATAAAAATATCTTCAAGTAGCGCTAATATAAAATGAACTATTGTTCAAAATAATTCGCATCTTTTTGTACATATCTGTCTCTATCAATATGTGGATTTGAAGCTTCATATACGATTAGGACTCGTAATCACGAAAGAGAAAAGTATCGAAGACAACGGTTGTGCAAGATAGTTTTGACATTTTTAAGAAGTGAAGTGACAGCAATGAAATCGACTGAATATAATCTTCACTTTTTCAACATATTTGTAAAATAATCTTTGGTTCCAATCATGTATGATTTTGTAGAGAATTTCAAACGCAATCCTTTGATTAGGGTGATAGTGTGTGTGTACTTTGATATTCACTGTACTCTCGTCTACGTCCACATTTTCAACTTCAGAAAAAATTGATTTCTAATAGGAACAATTTATTCAAAGAGTGGTTTTCTTGTGTCTTTTTGTTTTTCTACTAACTCTAGGTACAGAAATCAAATTATTTGACTTTAAAAGTTTTCGTCCATAATGATTTCGAATTCGCCTATATGAAATGGATACTTAATAATATAAATCACATCCAAAAGATTTAAACTTCATCTTCATATGTAAATTATTGTCGAGAAACATTAAAAAAACAATAAATTCCTTTGAAATTCATCAATTTTGAATTTATGAATGAATTACAGTAAGATAATCTGTTCTACAAGAATATATATCACTTTTTAATATGACTTTTTCTTTTAGTTTTGAGACAAATATTTTTACTTGGCCACATATTCAAGATATTTCGATTGATTTGCATCCATCTCGTTACTTATTTCTTGAGCGACTAAATGAAATATATCTTAATATTGCTCCTATTAAAGTTTATACAGGTTAAGATTTTATTCTTT